CCAGCTTTTCAGGCTGTTCCTGCCATTGGGTCCCACTGGGCTGAGAACATCTCTGGGAGTGCTGGGATGAGCCCCTGAGCCAGTGCCAGTCCATACTGGGATTAACCCTCCAGCAGTGCCAGTCTATACTGGGATTAACCCTCCAGCAGTGCCAATCCATACTGGGATTAACCCTCCAGCAGTGCCAGTCTATACTGGGATTAACCCTCCAGCCAGTGCCAGTCTATACTGGGATTAACTCTCCAGCCAGTGCCAATCCATACTGGGATTTTCTCACTGTTAGTGCTGGGATGAGTCCCTCAGCCAGTGCCAGTCCATGCTGGGATTTTCTCACTGGGAGTGCTGGGATGAGCCCTCATCCAGTGCCAGTCCACGCTGGGATTTTCTCACCTGGGTTCCTCCTGGTTGTCCCAGTGCCCAGGAATTCCTGCCCTCCCACACAGCGTGGCTGGGGTCAGCCCCTCTGGAGCTGGGCCTGGCAGAGCTGGAGCCCAGCAGAGGAGCAGGGCTGGGCTGTGCAAGGAGCTGGGGGTTGGTTTTTGGAGTTTTGTTTATGAGCATTTTTCTCGGAAGAACATTTGGAGAGATGAACTTCCCACCTCAGCCGCTCCATCCTGTGTTTATTTTCCATCTGTGCTTTTAGCAGCTTGCAGGGATCACCTGGCAGGATCAGCCATCCAAAAGCAACACTGGAAAAGCAGCACTGCACAAAAGCAGCACGGCACTGGCAGGGGAAGCTGGGGCAGGAACACAGAGCCAGACTAAAAAGCACAAAATTCCCCGGGGCTGGGTTGTTTTCCACCCTGTGCTTCCCCTGCTGGGTAGGTGAGCTTCCTCCTGGCCCAGCTGCCTCAGCTGCAGGCTCAGGGAATTGTCCCAGTGCTGGGCTCTCGGTGGGGCTGTGCCAAGAGGAGCTGGCCTCTGTTTTCCCTGCCTTGGCTTCTCCGTGCCCTGCCCTGCTGTGTCACTGTGGCAGCCCAAGGGAGCCTTGATTTAAGGCTTGGGGCTCTCGTGTCCTTGTTGCAGGGATGAATCAGCAGAACGTGCCAGGCTGGAGCACTTTGGGAAGAGCCTCTGTCTGTGTCTGGCACTGCTCTGAGCTGTGAAAGCTCAGAATTCCTGCTCTCTTTGAGGTGAGCCCCACACTGGGGGCTGGGGAGCCGTGGCTGCTCCCAATCCCAATCCCTGTGCCAGCCCAGCAATGGGAGCTGCACATCCCTCGGGAGCCTCCCCAGGCCTGCAGCAGCTTCTCCTTTCCGGGCAGTTCTCACTTTGAGGTTTCCTCTCTGCCCAGCTGGGCTGAGGCACTGCTTCCTTCCCCCTCTGTCCCCCCAGGCTGCTCCCCAGAGCCTTCCCTGTGCATGGATAACACACCCTGGGCTCCCTCCCTCTGGGCATGCACACCCAGCAAGGCTGGGTCTGTGGTGTGACAGGGGAGAGCCCACATTTGTTACAAAATGTGTGTTTTCTGTTTGTATTCTCTGTTTGTATTGTCTCTATTATAAATGTTACACAGTTGTTTGCAAAAGCAAATTTCCCCAGCCTGTGGCTTGTGCCTTGCCTCTGGCTGGAGCTGCATCCCCTGGAGGTGTCACCCTGGAGGTGTCCCCTGGATGTGCCACCCTGGGGTGTCCCTGGGCTCTCCATTCCCTGGATGTGCCACCCCAGAGGTGTCCCCAAGCTCTCAGGATGTCACCTGGCAGGGCAGGGGGCAGAGGAGCAGCTCCCCATGGAGCAGAGGGTGCTGACCCATGGGTGCTGACCCGTGGGTGCTGATCCCATCCTCTGGAAGAACATTCTAGCTGCAGAGAGCCAGGCAAGGAGCACAGGCTGGGCCACACCCCAGTCCTGATCCACCAGCTCTGGCTCTGGGACGGAGTTTAACTGAATTTTAATTCCAATTTTGTAACCAGCACAGGCTGTGTGGGGCTGGGACCCCTCCAGACCTTGTTAGGATCCCTCAGAGTGGGTGGCTGGAGGTGAGTGGCTTGTCCTGGGTGTCCAGGAGCTTGTTCCCAGCTGTGGCCTCCAGAACAACCCCAGAAACAAATCCATGTGCATCCCTGGGGCTGGATGTGCTTGGCACAGCTCCCTCCATCCCCTGCATCATCCAGAGTCTGACTGATGTCACCCAGTTCTGCTCCTTCACACCTGCAAACGGGATTTTATGTTTGTTTTCCAGATTTGTTGTCTATTCCCATTAAAAATGTCTCGTCCTTCTCCAAGGTGTGACCTTGGGTGGTCCCAATCCAGAACCCCCCTCCCAGGATCCCCCCAAGGGCAGCTCCTGGGAGAAATTTGGGGAAGCTGAGGGCTGTGGGATGGGGTTCCTGGTGAAAAGCTGCTCTGGGAGTCTGTGTGTTGCTGTCTGGGATTTGATCCCTCCCCAATCCCAGGAGTTTGCAGCTCCTGTTTCCACTGGGGTTGATTCATAAAAATCCCAGGCACAGGACATGGAACAGCTGAATCCTCCCAAACCCTCATCCTGTGCCATAAACTCAGAGCTCAGCCTAAAAATAACCCTGCTGCCTGTTGGAGGTGCAGCCCTGAGTGTTGATGAGGTCTTGGGAACCAAAAATAGCTCCTGAATCCCAGCACAGCAGAGGTTTTGCTGCTTTTTGGGGCAGCTCAGGCTCAGCACCCAAATTCCCTTTGGGCTCCCAGGGTTGGCAGTGATGGGCTGGGAGATGCTGGGGCCATGTCCAGGCTGTTCCATTCCTCCAGGCACCTCCTGCCTTGCTTTCTCCCTGTTGTCTTGTTGTTTGTTTTTTTGGGTTTTTTTTCCATGGGATGATGTAAGGTGCAAAAACTCCTTTCAAGAGTTTCTTTCTTTTTCCTGTGCAATGATCCAGTGTCAGTCTCTCCTTGCCCCTGCAGCTGCCAGGCTGCTGCAGCCCTTCCCTCCTGAGCTGCTTCCAGCTCCTGCATTCGAGTGAACAAGGCACTGTGGGATGTTCCAGGCAGCCTTTTCCCCTCCAGTCCTTTGGGAATTGTCCTCCTGATGCACCTGCTCCTGCTCCCTGCCACCTCTTCTGGGCTGTTTTTGTTGATGTGACTTGCTCTAAAGGGTTAATGCTGCCTTTCCCCCTTTTTCTTTTTTT